GACTGAGCCACCCAGGCGCCCCAAGAGTCAGAAGCTTTAACTGACTGTGCCACCCAGGCACCCCCAGGGGTATCTTTCTAAAACACAAGTTTCTTCCTTGAAATCCCAAATGGCTTTCTCTTACCTAAATAAGGTCAAACTCCTTAGCTTGGCACTGAGAACCTTCACACCTTTTCAGCCTCTTCTTTCTTTGGCCTGTTATCTTGTGATTCCCATGCACTAATCTCGTTCCCTGACTATGCCTGGCTTTCCTTCCCTGGCATACAGCCTTGGCTATCTCTTCTACAGGGTTTCCCTTCCTGTCTACCTCCAGCACTCCTACCTCATCTGTCCAATCTCAATTCCTTCCCTAATGCTCTGTTCAAAGCCTCACTTGCCTCCCCAAGCAGTCAGCAGTCTGTTCCCTCCCCAGTACTTGGTATATACCATTATCAGCATTTGCCAGATTATAGTTTTAATATAAAATTAAAATGTGTTTTAATTTACATATTTAAATTATAATTAATCATCCTGATGTCTGTTTCTGGCCCCCTACCCACTTCTAATGAAGGAGCATCTCTATTTGACGTCTCTATTCAACTTTCTTTTCTTTCTTTTCTTTTTTTAAAGGCAGGTCACCTGTGACCTGAGATGCTGCATTTTTTAAAAGATTTTATTTATTTATTTGCCAGAGAGAGAGAGAGAGCACAAGCAAGGGGAGCAGCAGGCAGAGGGAGAGGGAGAAGCAGCCCCCTGCTGAGCAAGGAGCCCGATGCGGGGCTTGATCCCAGGACCCTGGGATCATGACCCGAACTGAAGGCAGACACTCAAATGATCGAGCCATCCAGGTGTCCCTCTTTCTTTTCTTTCTTCCTTTCTTTCTTTCTTTCTCTCTCTCTTTTCTTTCTTTCTTTCTTTTTCTTTCTTTCTTTCTCTTTTTTTTCTTTCTTTCTTCTTTTTCTTTCTTTCTTCTTTCTTTCATTCATTCTTTCTTTCTTTCTCTTTCTTTCAGATTTTATTTATTTATTTGAGAAAGAGAGTATAAACAGGGGAGGGGCAGAAGGAGAGGGAGAAGCAGACTCCCCACTGAGCAGGGAGCCCGATGCAGGACTCCATCCCAGGACCCGGGATCCTGACCTGAGCCGAAGGCAGATGCTTAACCGACCGAGCCACGCAGGTGCCCCTCTCTATTCAAACTTAATCCTAGAATAGCACATAGTAGGTGCTAAGTGAATGTTGTTAGATAGGAGAATATTTTATTAGATTGAAGGAATTATATAACTTTTGGTAGAAAATGTATTATAGAACTTTATTTATTTTTTAAAAATATTTTCTTTATTTATTTGACAGAGAAACAGACAGCGAGAGAGGGAACACAAGCAGGGGGAGTGGGAAAGGGAGAAGCAGACTTCTTGCTGAGCAGGGAGCCCGATGCGGGGCGATCCCAGGACCCTGGGATCATGACCTGAGCTGAAGGCAGACGCTTAATGACTGAGCCACCCAGGCGCCCCTATAGAACTTTTTTCTTTTTTTTTTTAAGATTTTTAAAATTTATTTGACAGAGAGAGATACAGCGAGAGAGGGAACACAAGCAGCGGGAGTGGGAGAGGGAGAAGCAGGCTTCCCGCGGAACAGGGAGCCCGATGCGGGGCTTGATCCCAGGACCCTGGGATCATGACCTGAGCCTAAGGCAGACGCTTAATGACTGAGCCACCCAGGCGCCCTTCTATAGAACTTTTTTTAAAAGAAGATTTTATTTATTTATTTAAGAGAGAGAGCGCATGCTAGAGAGAGCATGAGCTGGGGGAGGGGCAGAGGGAGAAGCAGACTCCCCACTGAGCAGGGAGCCCGATGCGATGCGGGGATCAGGGATCGATGCCAGAACCCCAGGATCACAACCTGAGCTGAAGGCAGCCACTTAACCAACTGAGCCCCCCAGATGCCCGAATTATAGAACTTTTTTAAAAAGGTGGTTTAAAAATATAAAAAACTTTCAAGTACACAGACAAAAAAATGCAAACATTTCTAAGTAGAAATTTTCCAAAGCCTGTTGTAATAAATGGAGATAATTTGCAAACTAATAATGTCCTTAAAAATAGTTTGTTTCTCATTTGAGTAGAGTATGCATGCTTTCTAAAATTTGTTTTATATTAGTATTTTCTCTAATATAACTTAGGCTTACAAATTAAAGAATTATACATATTCTGAATTAGAACAAATTAAAGAAATTAAAATGGGGGGGGCGCCTGGCTGGCTCAGTCGGTGGAACATGTGACTCTTGGTCTATGCCTCACATTGGTTGTGAGATTACTTAAAAATAAAATCTTAAAAAAATAAAGAAATTATAATGGTATCACTACCATGGCTGTTTATCACTTAATGGAAACACATTGAATAACAGACTAACATTCTTTTCCCAAAATGGAGAAATTTGTTCAACTCCATTGCTGCTTTATTCCACTGAACTAACTGTACCTCCCATTTCAGCACCTCATCAGTCTTAGCACTATTACTCTGAATTCTTTATTTAAACAACTCATAGAAAAAAAGTTCCAATTCTATTCACAGGTGTTATATTAATATTGTTGTCATTTGCTGAGATTTCAGCTTGGGTCTGGTACTGTGCCCAGTTACAAAAAAGAAATCACTACTTCTGCCCTTAGGAAGATAAGAATCCAGTTGCAGAAATAAGATACAAACACACATAAAGTAATCAGAAAACACTTCAAGGCAATATTTAGTGTAGTGTCCAGTTTTGTGGTATAGTAGTTACATGGTATAGAAGTTGATGTCTAATTATAATTTAAATATGTAAATTAAAACACATTTTAATTTTATAACTATAATCTGGCAAATGCTGATAATGGTATATACCAAGTACTGGGGAGGGAACAGAGAAGAAAGAGAGGCTGACTGCTTGGGGAGGCAAGTGAGGCTTTGAACAGAGCATTAGGGAAGGAATTGAGATTGGACAGATGAGGTAGGGGTGCTGGAGGTAGACAGGACAGTTCCTTGTGGTCAAGGAAGGCCTTGTTAATGCAGTTGATTTGAGCTCTGAAGTGTAGGAAGAATTTGAGCTACTGGAAATAAGGGGGAAAACACCCTACCTGAGATTTTCTCCATCTCTTCCAGTAGCTTTTCCAAGTCTTTATTCAGGTCTGACAGCATTTTCAGCATGTTGTCATAGTTTCTTTCTCCAGGGTCAGAATCAGCCATCTGGGCAGTGCACAGAAAGAAGATGCAGACTTGAAATAGACGGACAATTCTATTTCTCACACCTGGATAGCCCAAGCCAGAAATCTGAGGTCATCTTTAATTCCTCCTTATCTTATTTTCCTGACCCAAGGGGTCACTGAAACTCACCCATTTTATTTGTTCATGGAATATTTACTCATCTATGGGTCAAGAAGGCCCAGTGCTTGGGAGTTGCCAGTGAATACTGCCTTTGTGGAACTCATAGCCTCGCCCAGCTCTTTAAAGTCTTTATCCTCCCTCTCTCCAAGGTTGCAGTTTTACTTGAGGTCCATTCTGTTAACCACCATTGAATAGATTTACTGAGCATCTACTATGTGCCAGACATCTACTATGGCTCTGTAGATACTGTAGTATATTTGTGGATGCAGACAGATAAAACCCATGCTTTCACCGAGCTTCCATTCCAGGGGGAGATACAAATAATAAACAACAGAATGGTAAAGATACCTTTGGTTTGTGGTCACTGCAAAAAGAAAACAAAACAGCATGGTTTAATAAAGAGAATCTTTCATGGGGAGGGGTGCTTTAGCTTGTCAAGTCAGCTAAGTCCTTTCTAATGAAGCCGCATTTGAACTGACACTACAATGATAAGCATTTCTTTTAAAAGATTTTATTTTATTTTATTTTACTTATTAGAGAGACAGAGAGAGCATGAGCGGGGGGTGGGGGACGGCAGAGGCAGAGGGCCAAGCAGACTCCCCGCTGAGCAGGGAGCTTAATGTGGGGCTCAGTTCCAGGACCCCGAGATCATGACTTGAGCTGAAGGCAAATGCTCAACTGACTGAGACACCCAGGAGACCTTGACACTTGAATGATAAAAAGGAATTGGCATGTAAAGAGCTAGGGGAAGACTTCTAGACAGAATGGCTCAAGAAAAGGTGGGAGTGGTCCTCATGTGTTTTAAAGCATGGAAAGAAACTACAGAATGGGGTCGAGAAGAAAAGTGGTATGAGGTAGATCAGTTCAGTAGGCAAGAATTTTGGTTTTATTTTGAGTGTGAGTAAAAGACACTGGAAATTGAGAGCAGGGGATTATGTTTTAAGATAATGACTTCAGCTGCCATTTGGAAAATGGACTACTACAGAAGGTTGAGAGGAGGTAAGAGTGGGAGAACCAGTTAGTTAAGAGAGCACTAGAATGGTCTAGAGATGGAAGTAGCTTTGGGCTAGGGTGGTAAGTAATGATATCAATGGTGAAAAGTGGAGGGGTTCAGGCTGTATTTTGGAAGATAAGCCAAAAGAATTTGGAAAAGGATCTGATGTGTCTAGGTTTGCAGGGGTAAGTGTTGGTAAGAAAAAAATCAAAATGACTCTTAATTTTGATGAGAACAACTTGATACGAGGTGTTATTAACCGAAGTGGGGAAGACTAAGAGAAGAACGGATTAGAAGGGAAACCAAATACTCTATTTTTTAAAAAAGTTTTATTTATTTAAGTAATCTCCACCCAATGTGGGGCTTGAACTCACAGCCCTGAGATTAAGAGTCACATGCTCCACTGACTGAGCCAGCCAGGTGCCCCCCCAAATGCTCTATTTTGAATATGTTAACGTGAGATGCCTATTAGGCCTCAGAGTAGAGATTCAAATAGGCAGTTGAATATATAGGCCTGGAGTTCAGGAGAAATGTTGGAGCTAAAAATATAGAGTTTGGAACTAATGTGCATGCTCTCTTCACCTTTCATTTGGACTATTTTCATAAATTCCTAACTGTTCTTCTTGCTTCTGGCTTCATCTTGTCAAATCCATTTTCCAGTTCACCTCCAGAATGACCTTACCTAACATCCAAATCTGACCATGTCACTCTGCTTACAACCCTTCAATAGCTCCCATTTTCTTTCAGGATAAAACATAACCTCTTTACTACATATATAAGATCCTTTATAATCAAGCTCCTGACTGTTCCCACTATCATCCAGTTCTGGGTTGTGACCAAATTATTGAAGAAAGCCTTGAGATCTCAAATTAAAATCTGTAAGAGTTGTGTATTTCCATGAGACATGATTTAAAAAGATCCATAAAAAAACATAAAACTCTGCAAAGTTAAAAAAATTAATTTTCTTATAAAAGAGCTAAAGAAATACAAAATGGAATAAAATCATTCTATCATGTAGGTGGTTACAAAATCTGTGCAAAGGCAAAGAAGTAGATAATGACACAATTCATATCTAAGTTGTGTGGGCTACTTGCTCAATTCATTAATTTATAAGATACCAGTTATATTCTTTTACCCATACATTCAACACATATGTATTGAGCACTATTTTAGATTCTGAGGATATGGCAGTGAACAAAACAGGTTAAAATTCCTGGTCTCATGGAATTTACATTCTACTGGTGGAAGAACATAAACAAGATTAATAAGTGAAATAAATATAAGGAGGGGATAAGTACCAAGGACAAAAGTCAACCAGAGATGGAGGGTGGAAGAGTGTGTGTGAAGGGGGTGGCTGCAATTTAAATAAGTGTACAGGCTTGTTGTGACGAGCACAGGGTGTTGTATGGAAGTGTTGAACCACTATATTGTACACCTGAAACTAATATTACACTGTATGTCAACTAACTAGAATTTAAATAAAAACTTAAAAAAAAAAAAAGAAACAAAACAAAGGAGCAAAGGGCGGGGGGAAAGAAAGAGAGAGGTAAACCAAGAAACAGACTCTTAACTATAGAGAACAAACTGACAGTTACCAGAAAGGAGGTGGGTGGTGGGATGGGTTAAATAGGTGATATTTAAGGAGTGTACTTGTGATGAGCACTGAGTCTTGATTAAAAGTGTTGAATCACTATATTGTACACCTGAAACTAATATTATATTGTATGTTAACTAAATGGGATTTAAATAAAAACTTAGAAATAAATAAGTGTGCAGGGAAGGCCTCGCTGAAGTGATTTTGACCAGAGACTTGCAGGAAGTGAAGAATGGGCCATACAGATATCTGGGAAAAGTGCATCCCAGGCAGAGAAAAGAGTAAGAACAAAGGCCCTGAGCTTGGAGTCAGCTGGATGAGCTGGAGAAAGAGCAACAAAGTCAATATAGTTGGTATAGAGAGAGGGAAGGGGAGAGTAGTAGAAGATGAAGTCAACATATGGGGGGTAGAATTATGGTGGGCCTATCAGGGAAATCCAAATCCAAACCACACTGAGATACCACCTTACACCAGTTAGAATGGCAAAAATGGACAGGGAAAGAAACAACAAATGTTGGAGAGGTTGTGGAGAAAGGGGAACCCTCTTACACTGTTGGTGGGAATGCAAGTTGGTACAGCCACTTTGGAAAACAGTGTGGAGGTTCCTCAAAAATTTAAAAATAGAGCTACCCTATGACCCCTGCAATTGCACTCCTGGGTATTTACCCCAAAGACACAGATGTAGTGAAAAGAAGGGCCATATGCACCCCAATGTTCATAGCAGCAATGTCCGCAATAGCCAAACTGTGAAAAGAGCCGAGATGCCCTTCAACCGGGTGGATGAATGGATAAAGAAGATGTGGTCCATATATACAATGGAATATTACTCAGCCATCAGAAAAGATGAATACCCAACTTTTACATCAACATGGATGGGACTGGAGGAGATTATGCTAAGTGAAATAAGTCAAGCAGAGAAAGTCAATTATCATATGATTTCACTTATTTGTGGAACATAAGGAATAACATGGAGGACATTAGGAGAAGGAAGGGAAAAATGGGGGGGGGAATTGGAGGGAGAGATGAACCATGAGAGACTATGGACTCTGAGAAACAAACAGGGTTTTAGAGGGGAGGGGGGAGGGGGGATTGGTTAGCCTGGTGATGGGTATTAAGGAGGGTACGTACTGCATGGAGCACTGGGTGTTATATGAAAACAATGGATCGTGGATCACCACATCAAAAACCAATGATGTATTGTATGGTGGCTAACATAACATAATAAAATTAAAAAAAAAAAAGAATTATGGTGGGCCTTGTAGGCCACCAAAAAGACTTTTTCTTTGAGTGAGATAGGAGTCTGGAGGGTGATAATCTGATCTACATGTTAATAAATCACTAGGTTGAGAGTAGCTTGTCCTGGACCTGGGTGGAAACAGGGAGACTAAGAGGCCACTAATGCAGAATAATGCAGGGGAGAGAAAATAACAGCTTGGATTAGAATAGAAATGATGTAAGTAGTATGAAAGAGGATAATTCAGGGTACATTTTGAGGGCAGGGCCAACAAGATTTGCTGAGTCAATGTGGAGTCAGAGACGACACGAAGATTTTTGGCTGGGGGAAAACTAGAAGACACTGGGTTGTGTGGGGAAGAAAGAATCAGTTTTGAACATGTTAAGATGCCTATGAGGCATCCAAGTGGGGATGCTGAGTAGGCAACTGGATAAATGAATTCAGAGGAGAGAGTAGGCTAAAGATAGAAATTTGGGAGTCATCAGCATACAGGGTTAGGGTTAGGGTTATTTAAGACACAAGAATGGGTGAGGTTAAGGGAGATAATACAGATGGAGAAGAAGTCCTTCAAGTTTGGGGAGATGTGAAGGAACCAGCCAAAGAGACTGAGGAAAAGGAGCCAGAAAGGTAGAAGGGGAACCAGTCCCAACTCCTAAGTCAAGTCTAGGCTCTCAGAGAGTCACTGGACCCCAGCTACTGTCCTCTGATCGTATGAAATCTCAGCAAGGTGAGAAGACAACTCTAAAGAGTTCAAGAGACAGGAACTCCAAAAACTGTATGGGATAAAATAGGTGTTTCCTTAATGAGTGAATAATTTATAATGCTGAGAAGGTAAGGAATTAAGATAGGACATGTTTAAGAGCATAAAAAAGTAGAATTCCTGGGAGACCTGAGTGGCTCGGTCAGTTAAACGTCTGCCTTTGGCTCAGGTCATGATCCCAGGGTCCTGGGATTGAGCCCCGCATCGGGCTCCCTTATCAGCGGAGAATCTGCTTCTCCATCTCCTCCCTGCTCGTGCTATCTCTTGCTATCTCTGTCTC